TATTATTGCATTCATTTATTAGACTGTCGATATCTTTATTTCCACTAGACCATTCAACATAAATTCGTTTGTGATATAGAAAACATCCATTGCAGTAGTAATTATCTCGACAACGCCAGCATTCATTGCAATCATGAGTATTTAAAGTTTTAGATGCCATCTTTAAGTTTATTAGTGATTATGGCAATGATGTATATCGATATGTATATGAAAGTCGTTGTTCACTTCCGTTTGTGTACATGTACTACGTACGCCCATAAATGTTGTGGGCGTACACGTTCCTGTGTCATTTCAGAAGAACATATCGATATACGCCACATAAATCAATCATCGTTTTTTTTAAATAAAACTGCCATAACGAGAACGATAACGATAGTCACTAATAAACTCACAATATTCATGATTGTAGTAATAACCGTTTTCGTTGTCTAAACCACGAGTACTGCAGTTCCCAATATTCATGATTGTACTAAACGAAATTTATTTTGAATGGTCTAGTGAAAACAAAGATATCGACAGTTCTAATAAATGAATGCGTCATAAATGCTCGTGGCATTAATCGTTCATTTGAATGGATCCCCATTTAAAAGATTTACCAATGTTGAATCTTGTAAAAGGAGATTTGGTTGGACAGTCCAGTAGATAGGTATAGGGATCATGAAAAATAAATTGAAACGACGGGGAGAATGGAAAGTTGAGTTGAAATCATTTTACTAATTAACTTTTTCAAAATTAGATTCTAAAGTGATCTAGATTATCATAAAATCCAGATACAAATGAATATCGATATATTAGTGCTGGATTATGCAGACAAGGGCGATTTACGCAAATATTAATTCCAACCACTTAAATTGGAAAAAGAAAATTGATTACGTATTTAGTTGATATTGAATATAATCCACAAAATTTGTGCATCATGATTTCACCTTGGAAATATATTAATGTATCATACTTATCGTTATCCCCAAATTTCTGATCTTGCGGAGTACTTCCTTATATGAGTCCAGAGGTACTAAATGGAAAACCTTACACTAAAGTCGCAGATATTACGTGGATGATTACGTACGAGGTTGTCACAGGTCCATTCGGTGAACGAAGTCGTGACATACATCTTGTATGCGACATCTATAATGAAATACGACCTACTATACCAAATAATGGTGTAAATTTAAAAAATGCTGGGATCTTATTCCAGAAAACAGACCAACTGCTAAGGAACTTTACGACTTTTTTGATTCTATCGACAATGCTGACGATTTCATTAAGTGGGAGGAAAAATTGATACGTATTTTGCATTTCCAGTACTACAACCCTTTAGAAGACCCTAAGACAAATTAAGAAATTAAAGAATGTCTTAAACAAGAACAGAAAAAATTGCAAAAAGTATCCCTACGAATATGAGCAAAAAACAACAAATTAACTCAAACGCAGTTTACAACCAGACGAATCTTTAATTCTTATTTCTAAATATAAATCACTATTGACACTTCATATTAATTAAAGGTAAACTTAAACATATTTGTTTGCATATAACTCTAGAATATATGAATACTTAATATGAAACAAATGAAGGTAAAATTCATGAGTTATACCACGACTTTGATTGTATATATATTTTATTTTATAATGTAATGCTAGTATATGGGGTAGAGTCAGTAGAAAAGGGACAAATCTATTACTGACTCTACCCCATATGTCTCACGAGAGTTTTTAACAATAACGACGGAGTCTCAAAACGTTTTAAACTATTGTATACTATTTTTTTTTAACACTAGATTTCAAAAACCAGCAAACGTCTCATTGAATATGTGTCGAAAGAAAATTCAGTTTATTGAATTAAGACAAAGCGAATCAAGTTAAAAAAAAGATAGCACAGGTAAAACTTTATTTCTAATTACATGTATGTAATTCAATTTCTTGGCGCAGAAATCGACAACCACATATAAATCATTATTATCTTATTTATTTTACTATTATTTCAAAATCCATATTGAAATTATTACATAATTCAAAGCAAACAACATTAGAGTTTATTTATGCTTGTAATTAAAAGCCAGCTACAAATGACGATAGTATTAGTTAATCCAATGATAACGATAAATGCTCGAATGTTTATTTTATTCATGACTGTACTCGCTGTCAACCAAAATAAATACTGCTATGAATGTTTTAAATATAACAAAGCTGAATGGTCTAGCATAAATAAAGCTATCGAAAGTTTACCGAAAACTAGAACATATTTCAAATAGTTCCCTTTCTCTACTCCATGTTAAATATCTTGCAAAGGAGGTTTTGGAGCAATTTATTAAGCAACCTGGCTGGTTGGACAGCCTATTGGAAGAAAATTGAATTCATGGAAAAATAAATTTAAACGACGTAAAGAATACGAAACTGTGTTGAAATTCAAAGCAAATCACATCTAATTGTAAAGCAAGTTACTACTTTGTTTCTAATACGAACAAGTTCTCCAAAATAAATTCAGACTGCGTTGCAGCTTCTCTTAATAACAACAATCTAATTATAAGCGAATACCAATGAATTATGCAATCTTCGCAGATATTAATTTTGAAAAATTAAATTGTTAAATTGATAGATTAGGATCACCTACCGTTACCGCTACGCATAACGATAATTCTAAATAGAAGATATCGATATTTACATAATTAGAAAATTTGTGGGAGTATTTCATTTCTTATCGAGGATGCTAATTGGAAAATCATACACTCAAGTTGCAAACAGTAGTGGGATCATGGAGATAATGAGTTTAAAAGAGATGATGGATACTGAGCTGTTGTGTTGAGATTATTACGTGATTCAAACAAATCATAAACGAGGTAAAAAAATAAAGAATTCTAAAGTTGAATACTCGATAGTAATAGGTAGCGATTTACACAATACTGTATATTAATTATAACCACGAATAATTGACCTTGGAAGATATTTAATTGATATTCTCAATTGGCCGGGTATAATTCGCAGAGAAAATTGTCGATTTTGGGCTTACTGATCCAGCAGATACATGTACATGAATTTACGTACAGTGGCTCACACATGTAACGGAACACGAAAAATTAACTTTCTAGAATTTTATTTCCGTGACTATTAGTTTGGACAAAATAAAAAGTGTTCATTTGAAACCCTGAAACCTCTAATATTTTTTAAAAATAATTTGACAACAGATTACTTTGTGATTTCAATCAAAATTTACAATTAGTAAATTGAATTTGTACCACTAATTAAAAATGTTCTACTCTATGAAATCCACCCATTTACCAGTTTTCATAAAAATTGCCCGAATCTATGCTAGGAGCATTAATTCTGACTTTAGGATCTTAAATATCTATATAAATCAAACTGATTTTTATGAAAATTGATAAATAAGTAGATTTTATAGAGTAAAAAGTTCTTCAATGTGAGAAATTTACTAATTGTAAATTTTGATTTAAATCACAAAGTAATCTGTTGTCAAATTATTTTTAAAAAATATTAGAGGTTTCAGGATTTCAAATGAACACTTTATTTTATCCAAACTAATAGTCACGGAAATTAAAGTTCTAGAAAGTTAATTTTCGTGTTCCGTTACATGTGTGAGCCACTGTATATCAGTCCAGAAGCATTATATGGATATTTATTCCTATTCTTATCGTTATATCTTCATAGAACTCCAATTTATCTTAACGTGATTAATGACATATTACGCCTACAACTGCATTTACTATTTTAAAAAGAAGTTATAAGAGACTCCATTCTACCTGTGTCATTTTTCATGGAAGTGAACGACGATTTTCACACATAAATAAATCATCGTTTTTTAAAGAAAACATCGCCATAATCACTAATAAACTCAAAGATGGCGTCTAAAACTTTGAATACTCATGATTGTAATGAATGCTGGTGTTGTCTGAATGTTGAATATCTTGCAAAAGGAGGTTTTGAATTAATTTATAACGCAACCTGGTTGGACGAACCATTGGATATAGATACAAAGCATCAAGAGTGATTATATGTTTAATTTCTGTTTCTATGTTATGGAAAGAATGGGTAAGGTCCTGTCCACTCACTTCTTGCTCAGATACGAGTAAGCTAGATCATATCAATTACTGTGATTATACTGTTACTCGGACTTCGATCATGAGATATGAGGAGGCGGGGTATAAGTAATAAAAACTATGTGCGCGCGTGAAGATTCTTCACACCAAAATTTGCCAAGAAAAAATTCGCGAGTAAGATGCAAAATAAAGTTTTATATGCACTGACACTTTTATTGTTCTAATTTTCCGTTTATTTCGCAGAAATATTTCAAATCTTCGCCTATTCTATTATATATTAATATCGATATACATATCGTGCATTGACATTGACAGACAGAAATAATATTATTAAAATGTTACACTTTTCTTTTCCCAAATAAATATCTCCTTGTGTTCCTTCTCTATCCATTTCTTTGCCCTATCCAACTTTGTCTTATTATTAAAAAAATATAAGATGATGGTTCCATTTTTTTCCTGGTTTAACCAACAGAATAGATCCAAAGTGGCAAGCCACTCCATTATCTCTTCATCTCAAATTATACTATTACTGGTAATATCAATTATTTCCATTTTCTTGCTGGGATCGGGTCCACTAAGAATAGGGAACAAATGTTGAGTACAAAGCTTGGATAGATCGTGTGTATTGAGTGATTCTAATATACCCGATTTCCAGAACCATAATTCAACCTTCCACTTGAAATTGATAGCTTTCAATGATAGTCGCCATTGCTGTAATTAGAATCAGTACACCAGGATGACTTTCGTTATAGAAGACTCTAGACATTTTAAGTGTGAGGAAGTTATCGACTCTCTTTTCTCAGTTCATACGATTTCGTTCAAACACTTTAACCTCGTAATCTCCTTCCTCAAGGCTCTTCCATAGTGAGTCACATTTCGGAGGATGGAAACCCGCAATGATCGGGGTATTACCTAATTTACGATCACCCTTAACACCCTTAACTCTTTTGAGAAGTTGGCCATAATCAAAAATGATATGGTTATCATCTTCAAGGTAGCCCAGTTTTTCGTAATTGCGGATGGTGTCCCTCATGTGTGAAAAATTTGAATTGTCGACGAGTATGTAAGCAAGCCCGGTGGGGTTTACTTGTGCCGGCTATATAGAAGAGAACATTTAGTATAAGTTATATAAAAAGAAACACACTTACCAGTGACAACGGAAGGTTCTACGATAATGTAATGTGTATTTGAGCAGTGTTTGACGATAAGAAGAAAAGCACAAGATTTAGTATTCGATATTACTAGAAAAGCAACGGCTATCAAAGTCAAGCACATTATTTTATACTTCGATTGAATCTCTGTGTGAGAACATACCTGGTATCAAAAAATTCTTCCTCAAGAAGTCAAGTTTCTCGCTATTTGTTGGGTAGGTATCAAGAACATTTCATCGCAATAGCTATTTGATCAGTATTTTTTAAAGGAGTAGGAGCGTAAGTCACCCTTTTCCAGTTCAGTCAAAGCGAATTGATTAATTGCATTATAGATGTTTGTTGTAGTAGATATGTAACTATCCTTTTTTATCCAAACCTATATGTAGTGCGAGAAAGAAAATTTTTTGCAGAAACTGTGAGATTGAATATAAATATGAGAGATCAATTATCGCACAAACCTCTGTCAATTACATCATTACGAGTTAAAATAACTCATGATCATGTGTCATCAATATAAAAAATATTTATTAAAAGCTTTTATATAAAAAGAAAAACTCATATTTTTCATATTTTTACTATGTTTTATTAATAAATTTTTTTGCATTGCATTGCATTATTTTTGATTGCTACAATTAGTATTTCTATGAACTGAAACTGAACTGAACTTTTGTTTGGGTTCAAGCCTGGTTCAAAATTTAAATCAAACTATAACTTGAATTCAAGAAAGATTTGAAGTTCAAACTAAATTTGAACTGAATTATTATGAGTTCAAGTCTGATTTGAATTTGATTTGAGATTAGCATATGGTATTATATATTTATTTGTAACTTTAAGCATGAGCTACAAGTTTACCAAAAATTTACTTAGTAAAATTCTGAAAAAAGTCTGGTTCAGTTTGAGCTTGAACCTGACTTAAACCTAATCAAAAGTTCAATTTGAAAATTTGAATCTAATTAAAAGTCTGGTTCGAGTTCAGTTCAAATTTTGAACCAGACTTGAACCTAACTAAAAGTTCAATTTGAGTTCAAGTAAATATTTGTTAATATTCTAAATAAAGTTATAAATCATAATATAAGTTACAAATTAATATAAGATAATTAATATTTAAAATAAATATTTAAAAAGTTATATGAATTTAAAAAATAATTTTGATTATTATAATTTTAATTTGCTTTAGTTTTAGTATAATAAATATTTATTTTGCTATAGTAATTATAAACTATAATTATAAATAAAGTTATAGCCAAAAATAAGAGCTATAAATTAATATAAAATAATTATTATTAATAATTATTTAGAGAGTTACATAGCATTTATAATCAAATTTAATAAATGTAAAAATAAAAATACTTTAGTTATTATTATATAATTTTTAATTCTTACTAAATATTATAAATTATACTTATAATTTATATTTGGAGTTATAAATCAGTATATAATACTATATATTAATTTTTAATCGAATTTGAATTAAACTCAAACTTATATAATAATTTGATTCGAGTTTAGTTCAAACTTCAAATTTTTCTTGAATTAAAGCCAAAGTTTGGTTTGAGTTTGATTCAAATTTTGAATTGAACTCGAATTTAGATAAAGTCTAGTTTAGTTCAGTTCATAAAAATACTATTACTTAATATAATTAGTATAAAAAGTAATAATAAATATATTTATATTGTAGAAAATTTTCAAGTCATAAAAATTTGTAAATATATTTTTTTTAAGATGTTAAAATCAAGATTTTTTAATATTATAAAGCATATTAGTATAATATTTTGCAAAATTTTATTTCTAATGTAACAAAATTATAATTTTTGATATTTAAGAAGAAAAAAATATATTGTTATTCCAGTTCTTTAATAGTATTTATATAATAAAAGATCTTTAATAGGTCTCTTCTTACAGTTATAAGAGAAAATAATGTATCAAGTTAAGTTTATTATTATGAAAGTTATATATTATAATTATAATGAGTTCAAGATAGTTTTATTAACAAAGCTTTTTCATTACTATACTTTTCACTATTATTACCTCAGTCAATGCTTTGCACATAGACTATACAAGTATATAATATAAGAATAACAATATAACATAGATTATTTCAAGTCTATAATCAAAACTATACTAAAAATCAAAGAGTAATTATAAGGTATTTAATAAGTGAATTCATTATTAACTTATTTTCTAATATAAATTTATCTTTTTGCTATCAAGTGGATGCTACTTATATATAAAATTAATTGTTGCAAAGATTTTTAAATATCTGTAATACTAAACAAGCAAAATTTCTATAGTTTTAAAGATCAATGTTTTAAAATATCAACAATTTGATATTTCTAATAATCAATAATTCAAAATATTGAAGGTTCAATATATCTATTATATTGATATATAATAATAAGTCCAAAAATAACTAACCAATAAAAATAAAAATAAATATTATCCAATAAAATATATTATACAAAGTGTTCAATAAAAATAAATTAAGAAATTATCCAATAAAATATAACTAACAAAATTAACTATAACAATATTTTTAATAAGAAATTTTCATGAAAATATATTTTGTGATATAAAAAATATATTTATAATTTTCAAAAATGTTGGTTATTTTTATTTAATAAATACAAAGTTTTATTTTGATGAATTTTTTTTAATAAAATATAAGTAAAATATAAAAAATAATACTTACTATTTTTTATTAAAAAATAAATTATAAATATATTTTTATAATATTCTTTCAATATTTTTTATTAAAAATATTTTTAAACAATCTTTTATTTCTTTTTAATATTAAAAATTATAATTTATTATATTTAACACAAAATATTATACTTATTTAAAGAATATATCTACAAATTTTAAAAATTTTCTAATTAATATATAAGCACAAAAATATATTTGTTATTACTTTTCATGTTAATTATAATAACTAAAATATTTTATATTTATTAAAATTTTATATATCTCTTTAAATATTTATTATTAATACAAATATATTGTGAAAATTTTAATTCTAATTATAATTTGCTTATGATATATTAAAATTATAATTGCTAGATTATCATATTTAAAATATAACTTATAATAAAGTTATAATTCTAATACAACTTGCATATATTATATTAAAATTATAAATTTGATCTTATAATATATTCATATCTCTAGTAATTATTTTATACTAATTTATAGCTTTTATTTTTGAATACAACTTTGTTTAAAATTATAGTTTATAAATAATTAAAATATTTTTTAAATCTATATTACTTTTTGAATATTAATTATCTTATATCAATTTGTAATTCTAGATATAATTTATAATTTAATTAGAATTTCATCAAATATTTATTTGAACTCAAACTGAACTTTAATTAAATTTGAATTTGATTTGAAGTTCAAACTAAATCCAACCAAACTTTTAATTGAATTCAAATTTTTGAACTGGACTTTTAGTTCAATTCAAGTCTGATTCAAGCTTGAACTGAACCAGACTCAAACCAAACCAAACTTTTTTTTGGAACTCTAATAGTTTAAATTTAATTATTTTTGTTTATATAAATATTTTGGATAGCAAATACAATTTGAATTCTATTTGAAAAATTTTTTTCAAATAATAATTTCTTTAAAATATAATTATTGCTAAAAGCAAAATTATCAAATTTTAACATACTACTTTTTGTAATAATTATTAGTATTTCAAAAAGTAATTTAAACATTATCAACTTGTTTACAATATTCGAAGTATTTATCAAAATATTAAATGAAAAAAAGAAAACATTTAACAACTTTTCACTCTTCGAAATTTTGTTGTTGATTCTTCCAGGAAACTTATAGTGAAAATTATGAATTTGAAAAAAATTACTCTTTAATGATTCAATAATTGTGAAAAAAATAAGTATTTGCAATCTAAGAGCATCAAATACAAAAGAAAATTCATTACCCACTAACATGTTTTTCTCACAAAGTTGTACAAATTTAAAAATAAAAAATAAGTTGCACTTTTGACTGTTAAAATACAAGATAACAAATTTTAATTTATTTTTTTAATGGAAATTTTCTGGAACTGAAATCAAGAATTTAAAAATCCTTTATGTAGATTCAATTTATTAAAACGGTTAGTTTCGATTTTTGTTATGAATTTCTTGGCTACGTGATAACTAACTAATAATACATTACGATTTCGAAACCCATCAAATAAAATAATCGTAAACTAAATGCAAGTGTTTTACATAACGTATGGGATCGGGATCGGAATCGGGCGCGGTTTATATGGACCATCACGATTAATGCGTCCAGTACCACCACAATTACATGGAGCCGCAAAACATTCACAGGTTGCTTCTGAAGTCGATTCGATAAAGTTGAATGCGAAAATGGTAAATAAAAGTGCGAGAGTGAAAAGGTTAATGAACCTGAATACTGCTTTAGCTGTTGCCATGTTTAGTTCGTTTGGTAAAGAAGATAAATGTATTGGATTTTGAATTTAACACAGCGATAGCGATAGATATTCCCTCTCTTAAATATTATCATTATCATGCACTCCTGCAAACAGTGTACTTTAAAAGTAGATAACGATAATATGCGGTGGCCGTCATATGTTTTGCATCACGTAAATAAAAAAATAATAATAATGGTAATATCTCGTGATTTTACACGTTATTGACATGTGCAAATAAATATGTATATACAAAAAGGGATGCATCTATGTACACCCCACCCGATTGGTAATAACAATAGCATTGCGTATTTTCGGAAATTTCTACTGTAATAAAGATTAAGGTTAAAGGATGATTTATGAACTTCCATCAAACCACATAAAGTCACTATTGGTACGATTCTACAATGCTAAGTGTGGCTTGCATTAATGTTGACGACTTTATAATTGGATCATTCCCATAAACCATGGACGTTAAACTCGTTCGTATTCCTCTAATGTAACTCCGTCAGCGAGCGTGTATGGAAATCTTGATGTAATCAGCGAAAATCAGCTTATATCAGTCACTAGCTCATAAAATATTCAGTCAACGTCAGAACAAACAGGAACTGAACCTACGTGGCCTCTTCCAATTTTGCTTGTGTGTGTATGTTGCCCTCTTCTCATCATGGCTGTCAGAGTTTTATTAATCAAAAGGCTTAGGAACAACACTAATGCTGTCATTACAAAGGACAGGCTCTAGTTAGCAAAAAATTAGATAAATATGTTATCATTCTCTTGCCATCGTGGGGTTTGAAGTGAAGTTAGAAACAACATACCTCTTGAAGCTGGGCAGATTACGCAAACTATTTCTTAGCACTTTCGGCTAATACACGTGATAACCGTGTCGGTTTTCGCACAAACATTTCTCCGATTGCTCTGTCCTAATAACAGTGAAAAAAATCAATCATACTAGTGTTACCGGGGTTAATAATAAATGCGCTAATCTCTCGATTTCAATAAAATCCGCCTAGCCCGATTTCATTAGTTTAAATTCGCTGTTGAAATTCTATTTTTATTTCGCTTTTGTTTTCTATTCTAAATTCGTTTTTGATCTCGCTTTTATTTTCGCTTTTGATCTTGCTCTTATTTTCTATTTCTTTTTCAATCTTAAATTCTAGCTTAAACAATAGAGTACGTTATGCAACAAGTTCCGAACCAATACTTCATAATGTAACCAAAAAAATGTATATATAGA